TAAACAGGTGTTTAGTGCAGAACACTGAAGACACAACCCGGTTTATTCAGATTTATAACTATACCAGAGCACTCGTTCATCTAGTCGAGTGGTTAGTATAGAACACTGAATAGTCTTACCCATTTCTTTAGATTTAAATCTTATACCAGAGCACCTGCTCGTCTAGTTGGCTGGTTAGTATAAGAATACTAAATACAGTGGAGAGACTACGTTTATTTTTAAGGGTTAGGGTTAAAGAAAGTGCAAAACGCTCAAGGGTTAGATTATTATTAAAGCTAGGGAAACTTAAAATGTTGCAAGGATTTTTTTTTACGTACGTACAACTATTTGTACATGATTATCACGATAATTAGCCAATAATATTTCTACATACAGTATATATATAAACACGTCTGTTTTGATCAAAATATCGATTAGCCGCGTTAATTCATTTAGAAGGGCCGTCTCAAAGCGTCGGTGACCCACGGGCCCAGGTTGATCGACAGGTCTACCCGGGTACAAAGATTATCCGTTAAACCTGGGTTAACATCTGGGTACAAAGGGCATTTACTAATTCCCCCCAAGTTTCCATTGGTCGATTGGATAAAAATCGACGATCCTCAATAACGTGCCATATTTAATATACTGTAACCACATCGGATCATTTTTAAATCTTGGCCTGGATTAGGATCTAGTCATCATAGTGCTGGCTGACATTAAATTGGCTAGAATTTGCTGATTTTAATGCTGGCCGACTTTACGTAATTCTGGCCAATCGCAGAATCATGGAACTGTATATACGTTAAAAGTTCGGTTCGGTTCCAAGTCAGACGGCTCGCATTTTCACGTGCAACTTGTACATTTAAATATACAGTAGCCGAAAAAAAATTAGGTACAAGTTGCACATGAAAATGCGAGTCGAGTTCCAAGTCTGAACTTTAATTAAGACTCGACCTTTGGAGTCGAGTCGAACCCACGTACACTGTATTTCGGATTTATTACTGTGATTCACAAAGAATTTAACGGTAGATTTACCGAAATTATTATAAATACTGTGCATAACGTCCGATCATTTCACTGATGAGCGGGAAAAATAACGATATAATCGTTGCTCAAAGGCGCCTTGAACACTTTAATAAGGCATTAAAATCACAGGATTCTCCAAGAAATGATGCATCTATTGATTCCGAAAGTTCTGGTAATTCGATCGAGATTGAAAATATTGGAAAAATTTAAGAAATTAATTAATTCTTAATATTGGAAAATAGCATCAACAATTCGCATTGGTGATGTTTCATTAAAAATTTCTGAACCAAAAAATCCTGAATTAGTCCCATATTATGTTAAACCTTTATTTGAAGATTCGCAAGTACGTTTTGAAATCGATTCACTCATATATCTACTAAATAAATTGATAAGATTGCATGTGTTTATTATTTAAGCATTCAAAATGCTTACAGTTTTAATAAATAATATACTCTTTTATTCCCTTTCTTTTTTTTTTTTTAATCGATTTTCTTCAGGAGTTTCTCCAGCATTTAAGATGGTAAAATTTTCAATTATCTAAGTAAGTATCAACAATAATTAAACAAGGATAATGACATGACATGCAATATATTGTGGTTTCTAGGATGATGCAAAAAGAAAAACTTGGTCAAGATATTTTTCTTATTGGGTAAGTATCATAGGTGAATCAACTTCGCAACAAATTTACTATCAATTGTATTAAGATTTGTGCGTTTTTAGCCCCCCAGGTCCATTAAGAAGAAGTCTCGTTCTTAGGTATGCTCAACTTACAAACAGAGAAATTGAATACGTAGCATTGTCTAAGGATTGCACAGATTCTGACCTTAAACAACGTCGTGAAATTTCTGGTGGTACCGCTTATTATGTAGACCAGGTATATATCCGTATTTAAAAAATTTATTATATGTATATAATTTAGAAAAAACTTTTAATTTTTTTGTTTAAACTTTTAGGCATGCGTACGTGCTGCTATACACGGGCGAATTTTGATATTAGATGGTATTGAAAAGGCCGAAAGAAACGTACTTCCAATTTTAAATAATTTATTGGAAAATAGAGAAATGTTACTTGAAGATGGTAGATTTTTAGTACATCCAAAGCGTTATACCTCTCTTGCTGAATCAAATTCAAAGGTCAATATGGATGGTTGGAAATTAGTTAAAGTATCCGAACACTTCATTGTGATAGCATTGGGCTTGCCAGTTCCCCCATATATTGGTCATTCTTTAGATCCTCCGCTTAGGTCTCGGTTTCAATGCAGGGATATTAGGCAACCTGAGTTTGATTCTCAAATAAAACATTTACGTAAATTAGCTCCAAATGCAAATTCAGAAATAGTAGAACGATTAGTATCTGTAGCAAATGTTCTTGGAAATATGCGATATGATAATAGCGGTGGAATAACTATTCCCGAATTCCCAATTTCTGTTGATACAAGTGTGTTAGTGTTGCAAACATTTCCAGACGTTCGACCGCGCTTTTTAATCGACTTGCTATATCCATGGCCATTATTTCACAGGTGAAATTTTTAAATTTGATTAAACTTGTAAATTTCTCATGTTCAAAAAGAATATGAATTACAAGATAGTTATATATTTGGAATGATTTAATAAATGTTCGTGAAAGTTTTCGCAATTAAATTTTGGATTTTATTTGTTTTCTTAGTAATGCTGAACAAAAAAGTATCATCGAAGCAACTTATCACCGCTTTGGCATGCTTGGATTTGATTTTGAAAGAAGTTCTACAAATAACACTATACAACAAGGCGAAACCATTTTTCAATGTATGCCAGGATACAATATTAAAAATATCCAAGCATCAAATGACGTAAAAACAACTATTGGTAGTGAGCTTCCTATATATATGTTTGAATTGGATTTTCAACAGATAGATTTTAATAAGATTCACCATGTTAGCGTTTTTGGTGGTTCCGATGAACCTTTAGCTGATTTCTTTGTAGAGACAGGATATCACCAAAATATTTTTAATGCGATGTTAATTGCACATTCGATTGGTGATTTTTGTTTGATTGGTGAAAAAGGAGTTGGAAAGAGTGCATTAATGAGACATTTCGCAACAAAGCTTGGGTAAACATTGTTATTATTTGCTTTTTGTCATTATGCTATATTATTATATCTTCAAATTAATATTTGTTATTCCCTAGCTACAACATTGAATATATTCCCTTATATAAAGATATGTCTTCTCGTGATCTCCTTCAGCGTCGTAGTACTACTTTCGCCGGTGATACCATGTGGGAAAATTCATCATTGGTACGGGCTTCGATATCTGGACATCTTGCTGTTTTAGATGGAATTGACACACTTTCTGGAGGAACACTTATGGTTTTGGAGAGGTTGGTTAAAGAACGCGAAATTTCGCTTCCCGATGGAAAGCAGTTGATTCATCCTGCTAGATATAAAAAGTTGATCCAAAAACATGGATTGACTCATGAATCGTTGGAAAAAAAAGGGATATTCGCGACACATCCAGCTTTTCGAATAGTGGCTTTGGGTCGTCCTGGATCTTGGCTCACTCCTGAAATTGTTGCAATGTTTCAATTTATTGTTATTCATCCATTAAATTATCTTGTATAAAGAATTTCATAACTTTCATGATTTTAATGTTGATCCTTTTGCGAATTCTTATCAACTGTAATTAATTTTTAGGAAGAGACACAAGTTCTTGAAACATTGTCTCCAGGCATAAATGAAAAAAATCTCTCTCTCCTTTTGCGCTTCGTAAATCGTCTCCGTCAAGATACTGGAGAAACAATGAAAACTTTATCCGATGCACTTTCTACACGGTAAATTTATAATCTAAGCTAAAAAAAGGTTATATGTTTATTATAAAAATCCTTTAGTGGATTCTGTTCCAAATGATTGAAAAATTTTATGTTTTTATAATCTTGAGATAAAAATCATATAAAATTTTTTCAAAAAAATTAGATATCAATAGATTTTGTTAACCAATTTGGCCAAATTTTAGTCACTTTTAAAATTTATTTTAGCAAAACAAATTTAGCTAAATAAACTTTAATGGTAACCAAAAATTTTGATATAATAATTTAATAATGAAATAATATTTTCAATAGGCAACTTATCCGAATTTGTCGTCGTCTTACTTTGTTTCCTAACGAGAGTCTTTATCTAGCAATTCAAAAAGCTACTCTCTCGCGGTTCATGCCGTCTTTGGTCAGAATAGCACTAGAAGAATTGATGATAAATAATGAAATTTTACCGCCTTCAGAACCTATTAATATTGAAAAGGTAAAGAGAATACGATAATGCCTCTGTTTGATGTAAATCATATTTTGAAGTGGATTTCTTTTTCTAGTTGAAAATTGAAGTTCTCCCATCACGAGATGACCCCCAAACTCTTCGTATTGGAGAAGTGGAACAGCCTATAGCAAAAGATTCAAATCCTCTCTTAGTTCCTGACGTGGTATTTCATGAGAATCCAAAACAGACCGAAATACTAATGCAAATGCTACAAGATTATCAATTGGGTATTTTAATGATCTTTTAACTTATTATAATTGCAATTTAACTTTCATTTTTAATATTTCTGATTTAATTTTTCGTACTGTTCAGGTGAACATTTGTTGCTTATTGGAAATCAAGGTGTAGGAAAAAATAAATTGGCCGATTACTTTTTACAATTGCTAAAGTTACCAAGGGAATATATACAGTTACACCGGTGTGTGTCCCGGATTGTTTTTTAAAAAAATTAATTTCGTGTATAATTTCAGAATTTAAGCATTTTAATTATTCTCTTAAATATTATAAATATTATTCTAGTGACACGACCGTGCAAAGTTTAACCGCTATACCTTCAATTATTAATGGTGTCTTGCAATTTGAAGATTCACCACTAGGTAATTGATTTAATTAGTTGTATAGGAATAATTTACAAGATCTTTAGTGGTATAATTACTAATTTTATATTTTATTTTAGTTAAAGCTGTAAAGAATGGTGTGTTGTCCCGCCTTTTTCATATGGGTTTGAGTCGAAATATTTTCTAATATAATGAGATTATAATTATGAAAATTTAGGCCATGTATTAGTTGTGGATGAAGCAGATAAGGCACCTACATATGTTACAGCAATACTTAGAAATCTTCTTGAAGATGGTCAGATGGTTTTAGGGGATGGGCGGAGAATAGTCTCATCTCTTACATCAAAAACTTCTAAAGACGACTGCATCGTGATTCATAGGAATTTCAGAATGATTGTTTTGGCAAATAGACCCGGTGAGAATTGCAATATTTTTTATATAATTATTCTCGAATATAAATATTTGTAATAAACTAAATAATTACTTTTTTTAGGATTCCCATTTCTTGGTTAGTGAGGTCATCAGCAGTATCATTAATTTATCATGAAATATTATATATCTGAATGTGTTTTCTATATATATTAATTTAGGGAATGATTTTTATAGAGAAATTGGTGATGTTTTTAGTTGGTAATGAATTGCTATTTTTCCTTCGATAATATTTACTGTCGCTCCTATGTTAATATCTGTTCCATATTTTTTTAAAGTCACACTGTTGATAATTCTGATCCGGGCTCTGAAATGTTTCTACTACGCAACTATGCCCCTTCCGTCTCCAATGATCTTTTACTAAAACTCACAGCTGCATTTAGTGATCTTAGAAAACTCGTAGATGAAGGGTTGATTTCCTATCCTTATTCTACGAGAGAGTTGGTGAATATTGCTAAACACATGCAAGTAGGTTATCATTAGTCTAGTCCTAATTTAATAGATTATATGTAATAATATATGTGTATTGGATTATTTCATATCCGATATAATTAGTAAAATAATAACATTATTCTCAAATGGATTCATAATTATGTAGCAATACCCAAATGAGGGTGTTTCATATATTTTGCAAAATATCCTTGATTTTGATCAATATGATAAGGTTTCTAAAGATCTTTTGATAGCAGTTTTTCAGAAGCATGGATTTCCAATTGGATTAGAGTCTGATTATACAATTAGGTTGGGAAAGAGAGTCCCATTGATCGGACCAATAATCACTGAAGTCTGGACAAAATCAAATTTAGAAAGAAATAAATGTGAAGTGAGAAAATTTACAATGAAATTTAGAGTAAGTTAATGAATTTAAAAGTACTATGTTATCTATAATGTTTCTATCTTATATTTATTATTGTTTAACTTAGGGCTTGTGGGAACTTCATATGAGCGAAGCTAAAGAATTGGACAGAACTGAAGGCAAGTTACTAAATTTATGATAATATTTCATATTATACTATTCCATTTACCATGGTTTATATACATAAAAGGCCGTATTCATGCTTTTACGGAACAAATATACACTTTCCGGATATTAACACACGGTGAAGCACTTGATATAGTAGGCCTTGATGACGGTTCATTATTTGTGGTGACGACAAATCCTATAACATTACATGCAATTTGTCAAAATCACCAAAAAGCCAGAAGTGTCGATTTGCACGAATACTTTCCTTTACTAAAAAGTATATATTGTATAAACAAATATTCAATCATATAAGTGTTGTTTTTCATGAAAATAAGCCGACTTAATGTTTTTTTAAAAAAACAAACTTTTTAAACATTCTCTAGCCTCTTCAACCCTAAAAATGGCTATTGTACAAGAAAGAGATGGATCTTGGTTATTGATACTTCATAGCTCTTCTGATAATTCTATACTTTCAATCGATTTCTCAAAAAATTCTATAACTGCATTTACGGTATTCTTACTACTAATTATTTTTCTTTCATAATTCATAATTTATGAGTGCGCATAGTAAATCGACCCATAATATTTTATGCATTTAAATAGTTAACATCGAGCCCAGAAGAAACAATTATGTTGAAAGATTTTGAAGCCATTGGAATCTTAGGTGTGCTTTGGTCAAAAAACAATTTATTCAAATAACCAGCGAAATAATGCAACTTATAAAAAAATAATTATAAATTTCAGTTTTTTATCAAAAAGGAAGGTCATCCATCATTATACTTGACTTTAATGCAAATACATCATATTCAATTGAAACATCCAAGAAAAGCAAGTCCCTTTTTTTTTTTTTTTTTTTTGTATAATTAATTTTTTCTTCTGATACTTACTATAAATTTAATTATTTAGTTGCTCAATTATACTTGGCCAACCCTGATGTATGGCTGTTTAGAGACTTCTTAGATAAGCATTATCTTATTTATGCACAGTCGGATAATAATTTTGAAAACTTGTAAGTATTATTGACTCATTACCGATCACTGTTGTCACTGCTTACAGTACTCAGGTCTTATTCAAGACTCCTGAATAATACTGGATACTATTCACAAATCCAGCGATTCATTGGTGGCAAGATAATATTTGGAGAAAGTACTGTAAGCAGTGACCAATGGTATTTGTTACAAAATATTAATATGATTTTTGAACTTATTAGGATTCCCAATGTCGTTGAACGTTTTGATGTTAAAGTATTGTTAAAATCTACTCCGACAGAAATTACATATCTCTCTCAAGAAGGTGTTGCACAAGCTAATGTGTATGTTTAAACAAATTTTTAGTTTGTATGAATTATCAATTTATTCAAATTATTTCATCTTATTAGGTTATCTGCACGTTTTCTTCAAACGAATAATGATTCAATAGCAGTTTCCATTATTTCAAATTTACCGGAAGCTTTAATTAGTAATATGGGTGATGCTGAAATTTTTTCATATATGAGAGACGCGAATGATGATGGAAACCATGAAAATTTTTATAAAAATTTTAAGAATGGTTCAATATATCTGACTAAGTCGGGCCAATTGGCAACAGTAATTCCATCAAAAGTATGGTTAAAATGTCATTATATTGTGTTCTCAATTTCAAGCTCTTGCCTTTTAGTTTTGACTTTATCATAAATTATAGGATGGTAGAGGTACTGGATATTTAGAACTGTTTAATCCTATCCAAAAAGTATTATGGAGAATCGTTCTTCCATTGGCCATTCCTGGCATTGACAAAACGTAATTTTCTCATTTTTTATGTATTTAAGACTTATACAATAAGCATTCTCAATGCTGTATTATTTTGTAGTAACCCAATACTTTCAGCAACGGGTCATCAATATATACAAGGTGATAGGATGGCGGCATCTTTGTTGGAATTACCTAATGGTGATTTATTAACAATGGATAATAGTGGTAAGAATGCTTGTCATTTTTTTTATTACAGTATATCGATTTGTATGAAATTAATTATCTTATATACTGTAGGTGTTGCAAGAATATGGCAAGTTGATGCAGGGGAATTAGTAAAAGCAGTTAATGCATGGAAAAAGTTGGTTGGCAATATTGATAAACGTACCTTATCTATTATATATGATGATCCTGAGGTTTGCATCAATAGAGTATTCGACATTTATTCTAGAGTATGAACTTAAGGACTAATTACATAAAAATTAGGGTAATATTACTGAATTCACATCAGAGGATGGGGCTTCTATTAGCGTGATGGATTTTATCAATGGTGCATCTGGTAGCGGATCTGGATCTGGATCTGGATCTGGTGATGGATCTGGACCAGGTGATGGTAATAATGATGGTGAAGGTATTGGAGGAGATAGTGGTGATCCAATGAATTCTAAAGGAAGACAGCAAACCTTTGTAGATGTTGAGAATTTGGAGCTTGTAAGTGTACTTAATGAAGAGTTGAATATTTTTATATTACTTGCCCTATTAACTAACATATGCTCATTCAGCGAGCTGAAGTTAAGCAACCGCTTGAACTTACCGACGCTCAAATGTTTGTATTTCAATAACTGCTTCTTCCATTTTATGAATAAAATAACATACTTTTGTATATTTTCAGGGAATTGCATAAATTGATCATGCAAAAGCGACTTGAACAAATAAACATGACTCAAGAAGATTTTGAGTTATATCGTTCATATAAAGCCGATGTTCAACGTCAAATTCGAGAACTCCATATAATATTGGAAAGTATTGAAGCTAAAGATAAAGAACGTATATGGTTAAAAAATCAAAGTTCCGGAGATGTAGATGATACCAAATTGTAAAATCCATAATATTTTTATTATGATTTAAATATAGTTTTTAGTCTAAATATCTAAATTTCACCCAAAATTTTAGAATTGAAGGATTAACTGGCGATGTAAATATCTATAAGCGTCGCGGTGAAAATGATCCTGAGAGTGGGTTTTATCAAGCTCATCCTAAGAAGATATATTTTGTTTTCGATTTAAGTGCCAGGTTAGTTTATCTCATAACGTTACATTTCAATGTTTATGTAATTAGTTACTGCTACTTTGAAAAATGAATTTTAGTATGTATCGATTCAATTCTCACGATCGTCGATTAGATCGTTCTATGGAAGTTGCCCTTAGTAAGTCCAATTTTATATGGTTTCACATTCAGATTGACGAATCAAAGTAATATGTAAATAATATATATTATGTTTAGTGATTATGGAGTCATTTAAATCTTTTGAACATAAGTTCCAATACCAAATTTTTGGACATAGCGGAGATTCACCTAATATTGAATTCGTAAAAAAAGGTGAATATCCGCGCACTGAAAAGGAGACATTTAAAATTTTGAGTAGAATGCATGCACATTCACAGTTTTGCCTTAGTGGAGGTACAGTACATAATAAGTTCCTTTACAAATATTCTGTCAAATTATATTAAATTATGCACAAATCGTCTTAATATTTTTAATATAAATTATATATAGATAATACATTGAGTGCAGTAACACATGCTATTAGAGATATTACAAAAGAAATAGCAGATGATTATTTTGTTATTGTGCTTTCTGATGCTAATATTCAACAATATAAAATTAATCCGGAGGATATTGCGAAAGGTATTATTATTAAATAACAAATTTCAAATAATTATATATATATTTGATATTACAATTCATTCTGTAACATTTATGATAGCGTTGAAAGAAGACGAGAGAGTAAACTCCTTCGTAATATTTATTGGATCTTTACAAGATCAAGCTGAAAAGTAAGTAGAAATAATTTTTATCTTATTTTATTTTTCATAATTCAAGCTATATTTAATTATTTTTTATATAGACTAAAGAAAAGTCTTGGTAGCCATGCGCATATTTGTTTGGATAACAAGGATTTACCGCAAATTATGAAATCTATTTTCTTGGCCTCGATGTTAAAAGCTTAACTGTTATTGGTTTTTGCTATAAATATATTTTTGATAAATGAGTTGTATGTTTTAAAAAGTTGTTGATCAGAAATTTAAAGGCTTCACGGACTTCTTCCTTTGATAAAATGGACGATTCATATTGAACATGAACCATTTTCCTCATTAATATTAAACGGTTGCAGAATCTAACCATGACATCTTATTATCCCCTTGGGTATGCTTGGTGATTGATTTATTTCATATCTAATATTATTAATTTTATTATACCATTTTTATTATTTGTTTTGTACTTTTGCACTTAGACATTTAATAAATCTAATAAACCTGTGGGTTTGTTTTTCTGTGAAAATAATTGGTTTTATTGTATTATTATTATTTTTTTTAAAATTATTAATAAAAAAAAAAACTTTAATTTTTTAAAAATATTATAAATACGTATTTAAAATATTAAATAATTACCCATATGGCCGCGAATAACGCGAATTTCAGCCTAAATTAAGCTTAATTCTGGCCGAAATTCGAAATAACGCCCCTGTGTGTTATTTCGCTATACGGCATAAAACAAAATAACTTGTGTTTAGTATATTGGGTTGATCATAAAGAAAAATTAAAATTATGCTTTGAAGAAAAGCATCCCTAAGTGAGCGTGCGCATTCTAATCTTGGTTATGCTGTTATTCGTCCAGAAAAGATCACTTTTATCAAAAAGGTCAAAAATATTCGTTATGATTGGACGTCCGAATCTCCTTTTTGAAAGGTAAAAAATTATTATTTTTCATATCATATAACGTAATTTTGCAATAATATAATGACTTTATCTTATTCTCATAAATATTTGAGCCACTAAGTCGGCAGGATTGTAACCAAGATTAAACCCAACCGTTGGATTACTGTGTTCAAAGTTTTGCCTTGATCCATTTATTTTCCTCCATTGCTAAATTATTTTGCTAATTTCTTGTGGATGTTTCGGACCAAATGACGCTTAAGACGCGTCCAATTATGAGAGCAATGCTTACGATCATTAAAATTCAATGTTCTCAATGTTCTCAATGAACATCCAATTTTTTTAAGAATATTAATATTAAAATAGTGTTCTCTTATTTAAGAACATTTTGTTCTTTTAAAATGTTCTCAAAGAGAACATTTATAAAATTTTATAAGTAATATAAAATGTTCTAATTTTAATATGAATTTTTGCTTATCAGTTTTCAATCGTGATATACTATACGTATGCATGTATATACATGTATATATACGACATATATTTGAAGTTTATGCAATAAGTAGCTACGCGACATTGTCACGAATATAATTTCATTTAGAAAAAATGACAACTCCAATACAGAATAGTCATATAAGTTATAGTTTTGAAATTCAGATAATAAATATCGGGTATACAGCTAAATATAGCATAACTATATCGATATGAGACACTATAATTTAAACAACAAAAAATTTCATAAGTATAGAGTGTAAAATACCTCTTTAAAAATATATCATAACAATCCATTGCAATTTTCTAATACATAACGCCAGAACAGATGTTAAAAATAGAGGTATTTCACACCCTACACCGTACGGATCCGTTCATAATAATCTGCGTAATTTAGAAATGTTCTTGGCAGATGAAAATAATACAGACTAATGTGGATCAGAAGCTAAATGAGATGTGAACAGCTCAAATCAAATACTTAGACCAATTAGACCAATGAATAATCACTAAACTTAGACTATGGGTGCTCTTAATGTGATTAGATAGCTATCGAGATCATGCATAAGTACTACGATTAATTGAAGCGATCTCTACTGTAATCTTGCTGAAGTCTGACAAAAAAAGATGGTTTCAAACTTTTTTTTTTATCATGATAATAAACCTATTAACTTCGTAGAACTTGGTTTTATATATAAGGTAGCTGCTAGATATTTCTAAAATTTAGTAAAATAAAGCTTAAAAGCTTTACTTTATCTTCCTAAATTTAGCTAATAATAAATTATTATTTTTAAGTATATAAAGTACTTAGAAATTCTAAGTACTTCATATATTTTTTATATTCTAACTTAGAATATGAATAAAATTATGAACATTATTAAAAAACTAATGTTCATCTAATATATTATAATGAACATCAAAAAAATTTTAAGAACATTAATAGTTTAAATTAAGCTCTTTTGAAGAACATAAGTTTAAGTTTGAATTTTAAACACTGCTTACGATTAGTACCATAATGTCAATCCCCTAAATATTGACATAATTCTAAACTGATTTAGTTTACTGTAGATTCACCGCGACATTTTTTTTAGATAAATTTGAAGTGAAACATCTTCAAACTATTATTATAAATACAGCCATTGCTTTGAATCGATGTATATTCACAATGTTGAGAAATAAAGAGCATGTTATTAGTGGATTCAGATAACAAAGAGTATTGATTCTCAATATATTATTGTTACGAATCAATTTACTTTCATTATAAAAAAAAAGAAAGTTTAGAATAATAAAAATTTTTTATAATGTTTATGACTCTAAAAATACTAGCTTAATTATTGGAGCCATCATTAGTAAATACTATTCTTTAGTAATATTCGTTATTGCCATTATTTTAACTCTAAATTTATTGATCAATATTCTAGATAATACAATTGTTTAATCTTTTAGTTAATATGCACCAGTTATCCACATCAACGGTGGTATTATTTGATTCAAATCTTTCGTTTATCGAACATTAAAAATAATTATTCAAATGGCATAATTTTTATATTGTGATTTATACTTACATTAAAAAAAGTCTGATGTGTTGAAGATGTTAAAAATAATTAGTAAACTAAAACATGAGAAAGGTTGCTGTTATAGCTGTTATGCGAAATCCGTTTCCAAAATGGCGAAAAAAGAAATCTTAAGCCCAAAAATGACGAAAGATGAAACACCCTGACAAAACGTCGAAACCTGAAACGGCCGTTGTATAAGCAGAAAATCATTTGGCAGAAACGAGAACTTTGTCTTTCACCACGCTTCGGATAATTACTTCAAGTTTACCTGGAACAATATAACGCACTACACTAACTGTAGAGATTAGGTTTAAATCTAAAAAATTTAGGCTCAAATATTGGAATTATAAATACTTTTATGTTGAAATAAATTTTTAGCTAGCAATTGTTTACTAAATAGTTTAAAAATATAAGATAGATGTTGTGGTGGCAGTTATGACAACCAAGAACATTTAATTCACTAAAATAATATTATAAAAAGTTCTCTAGTTTGATCACTGGATCACTAGATATCTCAATTCATCAAAATACCACCTTTATCTCCATACCTTACTATTCAATCGAAGATATAGAACAATTTTTGCAATATCCTGAGTTCTCTTAGTATGCGAAATAACCTCATCTCTTTAAAATTCAAATTACTTGTACAGTACAGTTATCACCCTAAATTGAAACATTTTTTCACGTATAAAGTTTTTATTACTTATTGATCACTTCGTCAAAATACCTTCGTTACATTAACACAAATGCCAATTTCATTACACAGTGTTAAAATTTACGACGCCTTTCATAGCGGTTTAGATATCTAACTTATGAGAATAATATCCACGATACGAGGGTGTCTTTCTCATTATAACATAGATTTGTATGGTATGTTTAAATACAAAATTTCCAGACTATATATTCAGAAAAAGCTTGTATCTCATCAAATTGAAACGAATTACTGTATCGAAAATCTGGCAAAGGGTTTATAGTGACTTGCTTATAATTATTTTATAAGAAGCTGACACAACTTCATTACGCACTAGTGTGATTCTCGTTAATACACTCATCTACTACTCTGCTATATTAAAATAGACGATATAAATACATATTTTATATAGATCAAAAATTAACTTTACTGTCACATTACATGAAAAATTTCGCCAACACGAGTTTTGTAATTATTAAAATAGAAAGCGTTTTTTAGTAGTAAGATATGATTATATTTAAGAGATTATCATCATAATCTTCAAAATTCTTTCTCACATTCTTTACGCTGACTTCTTTCTATTTCTCCTGCACAAATTAAATTTCATTGATACTGTATTGCGATCTAATCCATAGAAATAAACCACTATTTGAAGACTTTCGTGTTCTCCCGTACTAAGGTCGTCGTTAAGAATTATATTTTTTACCAAGGTCCTTAGAAAACATAGAAGAATCTGAAAAATGACTAAAAAAAGAAGAGTAGGTTTCTTCTTTTGACGCGATACATACACTCAGAAAAAAACGAGTCTATATTATTTACTTTTCCTGCTTTCCTAAACTGAATCATAAATGTTTAACGCCTTTATATGCAAGTTTTCTATTCTATTTTTAAGTCCATAATAACTTTACTATGGAATAATAGCAAAAATAAATTCTCAACTTATCTTGTAATCCCTAGGACATACCGTATCATGTGACAAAAATTAAAAGTGTAAGAATTTCTATTCCATGACGCGATATACGGCTATTAAAGTTCTACACTGGTGCCTCATGTAGAATACAAATGTTTCAAGTGAAAGAAAAATTCTCCCCGATTCAATATAAGGTAAAATTTTAATAAAATACGAACTCTGATAGTAAAAAATCGCTGCGGATTGTATTTCGTTATATTGTTCGTTAACTAGCAGGAATACAGACCTCATTTTTTGTATTTAGATGTCATATCATTTGATGTTTAGTATGAGCTTAAAAAACAAGATGGTGAATTTGCTCATTCACGAGATATGAATTTTGGGCATAGTGAAAAAACCAGAAATCGGTTACACAAGATTCACACTTAGGTTAAAAGTAGGTTA